TTAACATAACAAAGACAACCCATTCCCAAATGGGATTATAACCACTAAATGGGTAAGAATTTACAACACGTAATTTTTGGGGACACACTTCATTTCATAGTACTTACCCCTTCTCACTTTCTGACCTTCACCTGGAATGCCATGTAAAACCATTCCCTCAGCATTAATTTTTGATCCCTATTAAAACTCATAGGTGCTCTGGTGGCATAGTGCCTAAGGCATTTGACTGCTAACCAGAAGGCTGGTGGTTCATACTCACCAGCCACTCCTCGGAAGGAAGGTTAGGCCCAGCTGAGAAGAGGCTGTCTTGATTGAAGAAGTGTATCCTGAGTTGTTTCTGATCCTGAATTATAACCTGTTATTTCCTTAATAAACCCCATAATTCTAAGTATTGCCTGTGAGTTCTGTGTGGCCACTGCAACAAATTATCAAACCCAGCAGAGAAGTAGTGAGTGCCGTGAGAGGAATGGCTGGTGTCAGAATTGGTAAAAAGGATGGAGGGTGGAGGCATGTCTGACGTCCACCTCATGGGACTCACGCTTGGGCGGCTGACCTCCCACTCTATCCAGGATCTTGTCTCCCTGGACAGAACAGTCAGTAGTGGTGGCTGGTGTCAAAATCAACAGAAGGTTGATTTAAATTTTAAGAAAATGACTGAAGTTTATTCTTATCACAATTTGCAAACCAGGAAAGCACTCTCCACTCAAAGTTTGAGTAAGCTGCCTCCCACCCAAGAGTATGCTTTGCACAGGTTTTATAATCAAAGTCCATACAGATGTAGGTTATTCTTCTATATAAAACATTTTACTTAAAAAAAAAAGAAGAAATATTTTACTAATTAGATACCACCCGAGACAAGTTCTATGTGATTTGGTTATGGACAATTTTTGTGGTTTTAGCCCTAAGATTAAGGCAAGTCAGGGTAACGATTTGTGGACTACTGCTCTCAGAAGTTCCAGCAAATCTGTGAGGAACTTCATTTTGCTGTCACACCAGTGTTGAAATGGTGGGGGGTGTCGTCTTGCTTCCTCTAACTTCACAAGTGGGGAGGAGAGTCCAGATCAGCCGCCCAAGGGTGAGGCAAGTCTCTCTCTGTGCCTCGGCCCCACAGCTCCTCAGCTTGGTCAAGCGTTACAAAGCTCTTTCAAGCTCTGCTGATAAATGCCCAGGGCCACCCCACTGAGCCAGCTGCCCAAAGATGCTCAGCTTCCTCATTCTACAGGGCTGCAAGCCTAATGTGCTGTCTCCTGCTGGTCTCCTGGTTCTGATGCCTCTGCTGCCGCCACTTCTTGCCACCTCTGGTGTTACAGCTCTTTCTGCCGGGTCAAGAAGGTTCCCAGCACAGGGACCCTGGGTCCAAAGGATGTGTTCTGCTCTTGTCTTTACTTCTTGGTGGTAGTCGGGTCCCCCCGTTCTGCCTCTGGGATAGCTCATTTTAAGCCTAGCAGGATGGCACAACTGACCAATCCCATGTTAGGGTTTGATACAACTTATTTGCATAGTCCCGCTTGCACAGCATCATGATAAGCAACATCATGATAAATGGAGAAAAGACTGAAATTGTCAAGGATTTCATTTTACTTGGATCCATAATCAACACCCATGAAGCAGCAGTCAAGAAATCAAACAATGTATGGCACTGGGCAAATCTGCTGCAAAAGACCCCTTTCAAAGTGTTTAAGAGCAAAGATTTTTACTTTGAAGACTAAGGTGCATCTAAGCCAAGCTGTGGTCTTTTCAATAGTGTCATATGCATGTGGGAGCTTGACAATGAATAAGGAAGACTGCAGAAGAATTAATACATTTGAACTGTGGTGTTGGTGAAGAATATTTTATGTACCATGGACTGCTAGAAGAGTAACAAATCTGTCTTGGAAGAAGTACAGCCAGAATGTTCTTTAGAAGCGAGACTGGCCAGACCTCATGTCTCATACTTTGGTTATGTTGTCACAAGGGACCAGTCCCTTGGCAAGGATATTGTGCTTGGTAAAGCAGAGAGTCAGCGGAAAAGAGGAAGATCCTCAAGAAGATGGACTGACACAGTGGCTGCGATGATGGGCTCAAACGTAGCAAAGACTGTGAGGACGGTGCAGGGCCGGGCGGTGTTTCATTCTGTTGTCCACAGTGTTGCTATGGGTCAGAACCCACTCAGTGGCACCTAATACCACCACTACTACCCACACAAGGGCATCACGTACCTTATTTATATTATTGGCAAGCTATCCAGTCCCCTCGATGGGCCAAAAGCACCTCACATTTGCATAGTCCCAGCCAGTCATTAGGTGGGAGTTACAAAGACTATGGCTAGAAGGGCCACATTAAGTAATTCACCACAACCAGGCACCATTCAGTTCTAGTGTCAGCCAGAAAAGGCCATGATTCATGTGGGCTATCAGTCCTGGGGACCAGTTCCTTCTTTGACTCTCTGGTTTCCTTCATTCCAGACAAATAAGAGACCAATAGGTGTGGCTTAGATGGCTTCTCACAAGCCTTTTTTTTTTTTTTTTAACCATTGATTTACATATTTTTATTTGGAAATATTTGTTTTAATACAGTGAAACTAAATGTTAGAGACACTGGATATCATTAGTTTATTACAAAAGAGAACAGGGAGATTATTTACATGATGAAAGACTTCAGAACTTCAGTGGAACGGGCAGCTTCACGTGATGCCATTTTAATTTTGATCTCAGTCTACATACTTCCCAAGGATGTCACCATATCTAAATAAGTAATAATCCTTGTCATCTAGAACTACTTTAATGCCTCCATATTCTGGGAAAAGGACTTTGTCTCCAACTTTCACGCAAACTGGTTGAATCTCTCCACCCTTTCCTTTAGATCCTGCTCCAACAGCTACTACTGTTGCTTGCAGTACTTTTCCTTGAGATTTTTCTGGAAGCATAATTCCTCCTTTGGTTACAGTTTCAGCTGCACTCCTTTCCACCAATACTCGGTCAAAGAGAGGAAGAAACTTTCTAAATGCCTGTCCTGCCATGACTCTCTGGTCGCTGCAGCTCGTATTCCACTCCCGCCACGCAGCCGCAAGGTGAGATCTGCAATCCAGTCCTCGAGACACGTGAACGTGGGTCTTCTCACAAGCTTTTAAGACCTCAGACACTACTCACCAAACTAGGATACAGAACATTAACTGGATAAACTATGTTATGCCAACTGACTGAGCTGCCCCAAGAGACTATAGTCCTAAGCCTTTTAACCCAGTAAACCAATCCCACAAGGTGTTTG